ATGAAAATAAGAATACACAGGGAACCCACTATTTGYCTATTTGCCTTTTAGGATCCACAGGAAGGTGGCGGCCAACGATCCAATGGGGAGGGAGAAGAAGGCGACGTGCAGGAAGAGTGCGCYCTTGGCCAAAACGCCACTACTCACAGATATAAACCCAATAAACACCAAAAAATGGATCTTCTTCTTACCTTGGAAGGTAAAAAGAAACAAATAATTAAAAAAATTAAACAACAACTTGAAAAGCACCGTGGCGTCAAATGGTTCCTTTGCTCAAAATTGAGGATGGTCAAGCCCACTCCTGAGGGAGAAGATCAAACGTCCACTCCCCACTTTAGGAGTGTGTGCCAGGTCACTACGGACCCACATACACTAGAGCAACAATACGAGGAAGCAGTTGAAAAAATTAAAAAGTCCTTCCTTGAGTTCCAGAGAGAGGGTAGCGGCTGGCAGTTGGAAGAGGTAAGGTTTCCTTTTGTATTGAGATTAAAAATTGGAAAACGATTAAGTGCTCTTTTGCTGTGTAGGTACTCCACTTGGAATTGAATGTCGTGGCGTACACTCCTCTTGAGGGAGCCAGCTATCTTCCTCTACCAAAAAGAATAAAAAACAAAAAAGCGGTGCTGAATATCCAAAATAAAGACCAAAAATGTTTCCTCTGGTCGATTTTGGCGGCCCTTCATCCAATTCACTGGAGAGACCATCCTCATCGTTTAAGCCATTATCTACCCTTTGAAAGAGAGGTCAAAATGACGGGGATAGAGTTCCCCGTGAAAATCCATCAAGTGTCGAAAGTTGAGAGACTAAACCCCGGTCTCAGCCTTAACGTCTTTGGCTTTGAAAACGACGAACTTTTTCCTCTCTTCATCACCAAATACAAAAAAGAAAACCACATAAACCTGTTGCTCTTTTCTCAAGGAAGCCAAAGGCATTATTGCCTCATTAGAGATCTAGATAGGCTGCTTCATAGTATGACAAATCATCATAATCAAAAATACCACTGTGTCTACTGCCTGCATGGCTTTGTTCGAAAGGACCTTCTGGACGACCACGAACCCCATTGTGGGCGTCATGGTCCCCAAAARATTCGACTGCCCGACGAAGAACATGCGACACTATCCTTCAAAGAAGTGCAAAAGCAGCTCAGAGTCCCGTTCATCCTGTATGCGGATTTTGAGTCCCTGTTGGTTGAATGCGATGRCACTCCGTTGCAGRAAGGCGTCAGYGGGACTCAGAAAATCCAGCATCATCAGCCKTGTGGGTTTTYSTATACTGTAGTGTCCACAGTGGAACAATACCACAAGGCTCCTGTGGTCTATCGGGGAGAAGATTGCGTGGATCGCTTCTTAGAGTGCTTGTTGCAAGAGGAAAAACAGATAAGTGAGATTTTAAAAAATGTAGTGCCGATGACCATTACCRAGACMCAGGAATTAGAGTTTCAGCGGGCCAGCGACTGCCACATCTGTGGAGATCTCCTTGGTGCAGACCGTGTTCGTGATCACTGCCACCTGACGGGGATGTACAGAGGGCCGGCCCACAACRAGTGCAACCTTAACTTCAAGTTTTCAGGCAGTATTCCCGTCGTACTGCATAACCTCCGCGGTTATGACAGCCACTTAATTCTTCAAGGCCTCGGTAAACTCACTTCTGAAAAGCTGAGTTGCATCCCGAACAACTCTGAAAAGTACATATCCTTCWCGGTGGGCAACCTCGTGTTTATTGATTCGCTGCAATTTCTGAATAKCTCGCTGGAACGGCTAGTAGACAATCTTAGCAAAGAGGGAGGGGATAAGTTCAAAATTCTAAATAAGTACGTGGAGAGTGACAAAGTGGAGCTCTTGCTTCGTAAGGGAGTCTACCCTTACGAATATATGGACAGTTTTGAATGCTTTGAAGAACCTGAACTACCGTCGATCGAGCATTTCTTCAGCTCCTTGACGGGCAGTACTGTACCGGAAGAGATACACATGAAGATCATGCACATGCACTACAGGTTTTTCAAACCTTTCAATGTCGCCACATGGGAGACTATCACGATCTCTACCTTAAATCTGATGTGTTGTTATTAGCTGATGTTTTTGAGAATTTCCGGGATCTTTGCCTCGAGTACTACCAACTTGACCCAGGCCATTTTTACACGTCRCCTGGCCTCTCGTGRAGCGCTTGTTTGAAAATGACTGGCGTGGAGTTGGAACTCCTGACTGACCCAGATATGTATCTCTTCGTGGAGGAAGGGCTTCGTGGCGGCATCTCCATGATCACCCATCGATATGCTAAAGCAAACAATCCGTATTTGCCCACCTATGATCCTTCAGCATCTGATAGTTATATCATGTACCTGGACGCCAACAACCTCTACGGCTGGGCCATGTCTCAGGCCCTCCCTGTCAATAACTTTGGCTGGTTGACKTCAGGTGAAATTGAAGAGCTCCGTGAAAACCTCATGACTCTAYCTGCAGATGGTACCGAGGGATACATTTTGGAGGTAGACCTCAAATATCCTGACCACCTTCATCACATTTTTGCGCATTTACTTGGCTGTAAGTTATTAAATAAACACGTCGAACTTGACTTGACTTCTATCTCCGCCATTTCTTCACATGCAACTGCTAAAATGAGCCAGAATGTGAATGTACATTCTATTTCGCAATCTTTATTTGACATTTGAATGGTTTCATCGTGATTTTGTGACAAATTTATGAATATATTATGTTCCGTCTTCAATGATTACGTGCCTCATAAACACAATCTCTAAAAATATTATTAAGTAGTTACTCTTAAAAACTAATTTTCCTTTACACAAAGTGTATGTGATATATATTTGACGCATTCTATTTTTTATATAATATTTAGGCGTGTTTACCCACTTTTCGCGCTCTTTCTTCTGACCGTTACTAACGTGACTCTTGACGACATTCCGATGACAACGCTTCAAGACAATCTATTGCAAAATAAACGGAACACCTTTCCCCATTTCCCCACTCCAATGTTGAATACACGTTAACCGTATTTCCAGGACGATTTTCAACCGATTCAATCTTCAAATAAGCGCAAAACAACATTGGAAAGWGGGAKGGSAGGTYGTAGTAACACACTCGTGGGGGTGTTTCACGTTATTTTGCAATAGATTGTAGTTTGATAATATCATCTAATTTAAGAATTGATTCAGAGTAAAATAGTGGGTCTGTATGAGCTAAGTAAGGTGAGTTAGTAATTATTCTTATTATCTTTTTCTGGAGGATTATAAGTCTATCAAGCCTACAACGATATGAGCTTCCCCATATCATTGAGCCATAGAATAAATATGGGTAAATTAGGAAGTAGTACAGAGTTTTTAGTACAGTTTTTGGGAGAATAAATTTCAACTTGTATATTACACCAATTGATCTAGACACTTTTGTACAGATGTAATTGATATGTTCTTTCCATTTTAGTTTATTATCTATTATAATTCCTAAAAATTTAGCTTCATTTACTTCATTTATTAAAAAATTGTTTATTTTCAGATTCAGTGATTTAATCTTTCTTTTTTTGGTAGCTGAAAAAATCATATAATTGTTTTTTTTTTTACATTGACTGTTAATTTATTGGTTGTGAACCATTGCGACAGTTTTCCTAATTCATGATTAATAACTTCTTCTATGTTTCCTATATCTTTCGATTCAAATAAAATATTTGTATCATCAGCAAATAGTGTGAGCATCAGAGCTGTTACTAACGTCATTTATATAAAGAAGAAATAATAATGGCCCAAGAATTGAGCCTTGTGGAACACCACAAGTAATCAGAAGTCTACTAGATTCGATTCCATTAAAATCAACATATTGTTTTCGATTTTCAAGGTAGTCTTTAATCCAATCATATGGTTTACCTCGGATGCCATAGAAGTATAGCTTTTCTAAAAGTATTTTGTGATTTATAGTGTCAAATGCCTTAGAAAGATCAAGAAATATTCCTACAGCATTAGTATTTTGATCTAGAGCAGCTGAGATCTTTTCAACAAAGTCCGTGACTGCCGTTGTTGTTGAATGATTGTTTCTAAAACCATATTGGTTTTTGTTTAGAATATTGTTAAAGCTAATGTATGATATCAACCTATTGTAAACTACTTTTTCATAGATTTTAGATAAGCAAGGAAGTACCGAAATTGGTCTATAATTTGTACAATTGTCTTTATCACCTGTTTTATGAWTTGGTATTGCTTTTGCAATCTTTAGATTATCCGGAACTACCCCACTTTCCATTGATAAATTTACCAGGTTTGATAAAGGACCTGAAAGAGATTTAATTGCTCGCTTGATTACCTTAATGTTGATTTCATCATGACCACAACTGCTTTTGTTTTTTAATGACAATACTATAGTTTCTATTTCCTCTGGGGTTGTAGGATTTAAAAAAACAACTATTTTTGAAATCGCCTTTTAAATAATTGTGAATACTTGTGTTTGTTTCAGGAATCTTATCAGATAGGTTAACACCAATGTTGGAAAAGTAATGGACAAAAGAATCTGAAATATGCTTAGGATTTGATTCCTTCTTGTTGTCAATTAAGAATGTCTTTGGATAGTTCAGTCTGTTTTGATTTGTTTTTAGTAAACTGTTAATTACTTTCTAGGTGACTGATACACTAGAGCGAGAGCTTTCTAATAAGACTTTGTAGTGATTTCTTTTAGCAACCCTAAGTACACTGTTCAGTTTATTTCTATATTTTTTAAACTTTCTTTCATTGGTTGCAGTTGGTGCTTTGATAAATTTCTTGTAAAGTTTGTTCTTTTGCTTGATTGATTTTTAGGTCTTTTTGTTTCTTTAATTTTAAAGGAAAGCATTTTTCATAAACACTCATTAGCTGACTATGAAATTGATTTTAGGCATCACTAGGTGAGTTATAGGTTATTGACCACTGATATTTACCTATTATTTCTAAAAAATTACTGATACCCTTGTTGTTGATGATTCTTGTATATTTCCTGATGTGATTGACATTATTCACATTTTGTGGCCTTATGTGAAAAATAGGAATATGATCTGAAACTTCTACACAAAGCAAGCCATTAACAGAATTGTTGATCTAAAATATTTGTAAAAATATTGTAAATTAATGTTGCTGATTTCGAAGTTATTCTTGTTGGCTTAGTTATCAACGGAAAAAATCCTGATGAGTAGAGCACATCTTGAAATTGGCTAATAAGATTATTTGACTTTGCTTTAATTAAATCTAAGTTGAAATCTCCCAATAGATAACATGATTTATTTTCTTTTGCAATTGTTGACGTCAATGTGTCCAAGGTTTCTATGAAGCTTCTTATATCTTGTTTAGGTGGTCTATATATAACCCCAACAATAATGTTCTTCGAGTTTGATATTTCTAATTCTATAAAAATAGTTTCAATATAGTTATTGAGGATTGATAGGTCATTTCTTATTTTATAATTAGTGTTGTTTATTATATACATTCCTATGCCCCCTCCTATTTTACTATTGTCTCTTCCCTTGAAAACGAGTTCGTAATTGTCCAAGTTTATAAGGTTTGATTTAGAACTTAACCAGCTTTCTGTTACTCCAATTATATCAAATTTATGATCAATGTTTCTCACTAGATCATTAAGCGAGTCAAAATTCTTATGAAGAGATCTTGAATTGGTGTGCAGCAATGAAAAACTTGGAGATGAGAGAACACCAGTGTTAATAARGAGTTGATTAAGCTCGTTATCTAGATAATACTCATCTTTACCAATTATAGATATATTAGCTTCATCAAAACATTCTGGAATATTTTGATGATTGTTATGGATGTTGTTTGATGGTTGTGGATATTGTGGTTTGTTATGTTTGTTATTAGGTGTTGATGTGAATATATCAGAATCAAGATTTGCAAATGGAACTTGAGATACTGGAATCATTGGCTTGTGGAGCTAAATTGCTATCATTTGAACTGGAACAAAATTGGCTATTATCTTGCGACATTTAAGGCAAAGAGCGTAGCAAGCAGATTTTCTCCAGTACAAAAAAAAATCATTTGATTATGTACATGTATCAATATATTCTTATTCTTATTTCTCTAAATAATATGGTCATGTGTAGTAGATCTCGGTGTGTTTTTTTAATCAAGGTTCAGTAGTAATAAATCATTTGATTATATATTCTTATTATTATATTTCTCTACATAATTATGGTCATATAAGTTACTGTATGTAATTATAAATCAAGGGTCAGGGTTCAGTATTTACTTACAGTACTCTTCATTGTCAGTTTTAATAGGCACCACCAGTTATTTCTTGCATTACTTTGCTCAAATTAGGGATCTTAGAACAATGACTTTATCATCTTTCAATTTGATGTATATAGATCCGTCGATAGTCCATAGTTTTTGAAAGTCACMCTTTGCCTCATCATTCAGGAGCTTTATTGCATCTAAACGACCCTTGGTTAGGTCCTCGTGAATTGAAATTGATTTCCCTTTGAGGACTTTGCGTTGTTTCAGGATCTTTACCTTGGTGTTGTGGCTCAACAATTTCACTATAATCTGGCGAGGTTTTCCATTTAGACTTTTTCCGACGCGGTGAGTTCGGTCCAGATCTTGTTTGGTGATGTTTACATTTAGTTCTTTGTTTAGAGTGTCGATGACCAATTGATCGGTATCTTCATCTTTGCCTGTCGATGGAATGCCATTGATCCTAATTGAGTTTCGTCTTGTATACTGCTGTAAATCATCATCTCTTGCTCTTCCTTCTTCTTGTTCAGCATAGATGATATTCATTTGGGTTTGAGTTTTATGAAGGACATCTTCAGAGACTTTGTCGATCAGCGAGTCTTTGAATTCATTCGTTGCAACTATCTTCTTTAGCGTAGACTCTGCGATCGACTCCAGCCTTTTCTCTAGAGTGTTTTGCACCCAACTATTCAATTTTTCTTCAAAGTGGGGMCAAATTGCGTTCAGGAAAGTCTCAGGGAGATCTTTTGTTTCTTCGTCAGGGAAGGTAATCTTCATTTTAGGATTTGGCAATGGAGTTCCTCTGTTGTCCCCTTGCTTTGGTCTTGGTGCCTTTGGAGTTGCCGTGTCTAATGCAGAGGCCGATCTTTTCCCTCCAGTGGACATATTCACAGGAATTTCGCTCTTAGGTTTTTGTTTTGAATTGATCCGAAGATATTTACTTGAAAAAACTGCAAGAAACTACGCTCTTTTACGCTGTTTAGAATTTTGCTGCCGCCATGCTTGCTTGGTCACGTGATGACTGAAAAGTACCTGGAAAGTATATTCATCCTCAAACCAAACAAGATTATAGGCACTGGTTTTATTCAAATAAAACTTAGCTAGATAAATTAAAGTTTCCTGTAAACTTCTGTAGCAACCACTGACCTTACCATCTAAACCTTGACATAATGTCTCACGTACATCATAAAGAGTGCCGATTGGAATTGACTTAATGAATGGCATAAGCCTGTGGTATGGTACAAGCCTAGGGACTGGACAACCAGCAATAGATATGCGCTCCGTCTTCTTATTTTTAAC